TCGTTAGCTGGCCTGTGGCGAAGATCCTCTGTAATTTTCCCGGGATGTCCTGGGGGAGCTGAGTGGAGGCTCCCCTGGAACTAAAAACCCCACTAGTTTCTCATTTCCCGGGGAGGGGTTGGGTGTGCTGAGGCCTCGGCTTGCTCTTGCCATTGCTATGTGAGTTTGCCCTTATCCAGATAAGGTGGTGTGATCCCAAATATTGAGAACCACCCCAGCCATTTTCGTTTTTATCTGAAAGAGTTTCTGCGGGCATGCGAAAAGGGCTCTCGAGTATTCCTTTCTCTGCCGTGGGGTTACGCCTGTAAGCTTCAAAAAGAGTTGATGGGGTGGTTCTGCCCCGCACCTCATCGTTGTAAACCACCATCTTTTTGTGAGTGCGTCCTGCGGATTCTTTGGAATTCACACTCGCTGCCGGGATGAGAACGTGATTAGCTCCTGTTAGCCATTCCAGTCTTCAATAGAATTTTGTGGACCCCCAGTCATGAAGTTAATCTGGAACCCCTTCCATTTGGGCCCCTCTTTACGCCCCATTTGGGGGCAGCACAACTGCGGGGGGCCTTTTTGATGTTAAAGGTGGTGCACTGAAAAGTGGCCCTGAAAAGGTGGGATGATTTTTCCCATGTGGCTCCTCTGCGATTTGTCTTCCCCCAAAGGGTGGTCGGGGCACCACCCAACAGGTGTGTGGGTCCCCATTTTTTAGAATTTCCCTTGGAATTCGTGTAGGAGCATTGTATGTCCCCGCACATTGGTTGCTGAGTAAGAGTGCACATTGGGTGATGTGCGTTAAAATCTCCACCAAAAATAATAAAATCAGGGGTGTAGTGCGAGGAGCTTGCAATGTCGGGGGTTGTTTTGGGGTTCTTTTAGAGTTATAGTGGTAATGGGTGCCCCAGGTATGTGCACAAGGGGGCCTTACCTCGACATCCTCCCCAAATTCCACGGGGTTGGCTAAACCTCGTGGGGTATTTTTTGGATACAAATACACTAGCCTCTGCAAACCCCCGGGTCCATGTGCCGAAATCCAAGAAAACCTGGAGTCTTGGGAATGTCGGGACAGTAAGATTTCTTGTAGCAAGACGAGTCAACCCATCCCAATTATGCCCCAGCAAAGGGGTGCTGTTTGCCCCTCGGGCCTGAATTTCCCATTGTGGCCCTTGGGGGGGTTTTGGGGTCCGGGTTATTCCATTGCTGTTGTTTCCGGGCTGGAACTAGTCCTGCCCGCTCTGAGAACCGCAAATTCATGGCATCCACTGTCTCCTTTGGGTCAAAAGCACATTAGGAGCGTTCCCGGGAAAATGCCTTGTTTTTCCCATTGAGTTGTTTTGTGTTGCAAATAGATCCGTAAACACCTTGATAGTGTTTACGGTCCTCCGGTGAGGGCCCGCTTGGGTTGGGTTCGAAACATAAATATTATCTGGGTTTTGTGGCGAAGGACTGCTGGGGGGGGTTGGATTTCTTTATTGTAGCACTTTTTGGTTGGGGCTGTATACCGGGGTTGGGGTAGCGGGACTGCGGTGAGGTCCCATTTGATCTAAAAAGCCCCGTCCGGGAAAGGGGAGTGCCTGCGTTGTCGGCTATTCCCGGTGGGGTCTTTTAGTGCCGCCTGCGATCGATTGACCAGATGCCCCTGTTGACGCCCCCTGTTCCTCTTGTTTCTGTTTTTTCGTTAAAGTGGGGGTGCGGGGTTCTTGCCCTTGCGCCGGTTAGGCTTCTAGGGTTGGAATTCCTGGGCATTGACGGGGTTGCTGTGGGGAATCTGGGGTATGGCGGGTTCTCTGCACCCATGTTTGCTAGAGTGATGATCCTTCGTACCTGTGCCGAGTTTGTGGGTCTTCCCAAAATTCTTGAATTCTGGGGGCCTCTCGGGGATCGAGGATTCCGGATGGGTTTTTGCCTGCAGTTCAGGCATTGTGGAGTGGGGGGCGATGCTTTTTCACTTTGGGGATGCATTCCCCGGTAGGGTGGGGCTGGGGCAGACACCGCAGATTTTCTCCCGTTCGGACAGGTGCCCCAGGGGTCCATAACCTGACCTTGAAACGCGAAGGTTCTGGTGAAAGGCCTGACATCGCACCCCCCCAAAACCCAGGTCCAGCTGGGTGGCGTGGTCCTACTCGAAAAGGGACCCGTCGGGTTGGTGCGCTGCCTGCCCTTTTGGCCTTTGGGCTTGAGCGACCCCACACTGGGGGGAGCTGTCTGCCTCGATGGCATTTTCGCGGGTTTCGCATCACACACCCCTTTTGACTTCTGCCGGAGTCCAGTTCCTCCAGGGTGAAAGAGCGTCTGTCTCCATGACTCTCTTCAAGGGGTATACATTTCCCGTTGAGAGGAGCAATATTGGTTCTCCCCCCAAGGGAACCCATCTTGAAATTCGGTTTTGTGATTTAGGTATGAAAACCGCCCCAGTGGGTTCTGTGGTCCCTAAAACTTTACCCTTTAATTTTCCCGGTCAGTTAGTGTTTGCCCGCCCTTGGACGGGGCGGCGTTTTTGTTGTCCCGTGTTCCATCCCTCTTGGTTTTCGGGGTGCGGGTTTTTTTCCCCACCTTTTCTATTTTCCTGGCTCCATGGTTGAGCTGTCAATCTTACAAAGTGAGAGGATCTTCCCTTTCCCCTCGCAACTTCTTCGCTAGAATTTTGCCCCATTTCCAAATTTGAGTCCCCGTCGTGTTCATGGAGCATCGGGGGCCTCTTCTTTCGGCAGAACCATGTGCCTATCTTTTGAAAGGTGTGAACTCCCTGACTGGGTGTCAATGGATTATCGTAATACAGTCTTCCTTCCAAGATTTAAATCAGGTCCCCTGAAAGGGCACAGAGGGTATATAAAAGGGTCAGAGTGAGGTGCATCTAGTGAGGTACCCTTTTGATGTTTACTAGTGGTGGGGGTAGTATAAGTAGTAGTACAAAAAGTACACCAAAAGGTAGAGCATTAATTCGTACATGAGTAAAAGGATATAAAAAAACTATTACTTGGGGAACATAAAATAAGTTGGACCAAAAATAGACGGAAAAAAGGCACCTCTTTCAGTGTTAAAACTCTGTAATGTGCTTTGTGTGATAAAGGGGGGGCTATGTGATGGCGGGGTTTACTGTTTTTAGGGGGATTTTTGCTAGATTCGGAGATGGTGAAGCTGCCGTTGTTTGTTTAATTTGTATTTGAAACAGCGATCTGTGAATGAGGGACTTTCGTCTGCGGAAAATTTGTTCCTTTGCCACTATTGGGGGTCTCTGAAAATTTTTGAGTGATTTGGGGGATTTCGGTGTTGCCCACAGGGGTTGTTCAAGTTATCGTGTGGGTCCAGTATTGTTTTAAAGGGTTGTAAAGCTCCTGGAGAGCGAAACTTGCCCCCAATAAAATGTCACATTAGTTGCACTTGTGTCCTTTTTTTTTAAAAAATTGTTGGTAATTCTACCAACTTTAAATTTTATCTTTCAAAATTCTTCTTTAAAAGGTCGTTTAAAAAGTGGAGTTTAGAGATGAAAAACAATTTCAAAAGTTGATGTAGCCGTCCTTCAAATAAGTTTCTTTCCTATGGTGCATCTTAACCCGGCTTACCACTACCATGAGCAAAATAGCAATGGCTGTTTTTTA